TTTTTAATAGGAGCAGGGTTATAAATAAACTTTTTCTATTCCTAAGTTTATGGAACTGCTCATATAGTTAATTTGTGGTTTGTTTGTTTTTTTTTTTACTTGAGATTGGGTGTACTTGATTACAAATGATTGCCTTTTAAACTTACACATGGCATGCATGTATTCATTGCATTTACATAGGGAAGCAACTTGGACAAATGGAAGAAAAACCAGTTGAATAAGTGAAATGGTTGCCATGAGTAAAACAAGCAAACAAAAAGTGAAAAAGCTTTGGCTGTGAAGGCGGCCTTGGATGGCCTAGAACTTGGGTTCACGTTGCTATGGCAAAACAACACAAAGGGACAGATCCTGCTGGCTTCACTCAAGTATCCCCATTCACTTTGTGGTGCTTGTGAAGTGATTTGGAGGAGGATTTTTGGCTTACTTTGGTAGAGAAGTGTTTGTTAGCAGTGTTGTAGAGAGCTGTGCAACCTCTGGCACCACATGTGGAAAGAGGAGGGAATTACCAGAGTCCATGCTGATAAGGAGCAGAGGAAGTGGAAGTTATTCTTCAGGCAGTAAAGGAAAAGTTTAGACAACAAGAAGGATAGAGAGAGTTAAGGCAGAGGAAGAGCTTGTGTGGGAAAGGTAGGTGCTGATTAATGAAACAGATGGTGGCTGTTGGGGAAAGGGCTTAAGGAAGTAGAAATAAAAGGAGTAAATTAAACAATAAGATACCAATTCAGCAAGAAATGTGGCAAATTCCTATGCTAGAGAAGCCTTTAATAGGAAACAGAAACACCTCGGAATCTATGCCTCTGGCTGCCTGCAGGTTGGACTGGGCAGAGAGGCTTTGAAGAAGTAAGAAAAAATAAATTTACCAGAATAAAAGTGTGTAAAAGTTGAAGCTAAAGGGACTGCTGATTTCAAGAAGACTACTGCAAAATAGGTACTTGGCTAGAAGTACAGAATTGGGCTGAGTAGAAAGGTGCTCAAATGTCCTGAAGCCTGAGCCTAATCTCAGGGTGTACACTTGTTTATTTTCATTTATAGCTCTTCAGCACTTTAGAGCAGAGTCCCATCCCCTTTCTGGAGAGCATTAGGGTGGTGTGGGAGTGGATACATTTCTGCCAGTGGCAGAACAGTACAGAATATAATTTCTTAGTGACAAGCCATCCATAGACCACAGAGCTTTATGGTCTGGGAGTGCCTGTCAGTAAGAACTGAAAATCTGTAGGGAAAGATATTTTTTTTTAAGAGTAAACATAATGCTTCTAACCTGTGAATTATTCCATTTTGTTCTAGTATTAAAGGTGACTTTTTAGTTCTAAGGCTAGCTTTAAAAAATCCAAAGACTGGAATTCTGAGGAAGATGAGTAGCGGATTTTTACGAAGAAAACTATTTCTGTTGGGGAAAGGCAGAGAGAAAACGGTAGTTCACTCAAGTGATTTGTGTTTTGTCTGCTACTGGCTCTAACAAATGTAGTTGCTTTAAATGCCATTGAATTAAGGAGCATTTGTTGTCCTCTAGCTTAGCATAGCAATGAGATCAGTCCTTCCAGTCAGCACTTTAGTATCTTTCAAAAGCACCATGCTTTCATTGGGTTCTAGCTAAGCTTTAATCATCAAAATTCTCATGGACATCAGAGGCTCCTGAAACCAAATTAAAACCTCATGCTTTCTCCTCTGTTTGTCCTTATGTACTTCAAAATGTTTCCTCCCCTTCCACTTTCTCAGTCTTCTTTCAAGCCTTATAAAAGCTAGTAGTACTCAGGTTCTTCCTGATGTTCCCAGCAGCACATATTCCTGATTGTATCTGCAAATAAATATTTCTCAATAAAACAGAGTCTTTGTGCTTTTTAGACCTCGTTTTTACCAGGACTAGTGGCTTTTACAACAGCAGATTTCAGTGAAAATGACCCTATAGTCTTGAGTGGTTTCGATTCAGATGCCCTCTTTTGCCAGCCTTCCTTGCAGCTTGTTGTAGTTCAGAGCATTGGCATGAAAAAGTATTTAATAAACCCAAAACTCTCATTTCTTCTCTTTCTCTTCCACATGGGGATTTTTTGGTTATACTTTTAATGTGTCCTTTCGTGATCTCGTTTACAAAAATAGCCACCCAGATATACCCCAAAGGAAAAGATGATTCTCTTGGAAATTTCTTTTGAATGTCAAGTTGACTAGCAGTTGTTTACTTCTTGGGTTAATAATTTAGGTTCCTTATCCCGTTGCACAGTTTTCTTATTTCAAAGGAAGTATCTTCCTATTTTGTGGACTGGCTTTTCCTACTTTTACTAGTTTTCAGGTTTCACGTTTTTTTCTAGTGACAGCAGGTCTCACACTGAAGCAAAATCTAGCAGATTTTGCACCACAGTTTAAATTTCTCACTTTTTTTTTTTGTTGTTGTTGGTTTGTTTGGTACTGTCAAGTGGTCACTGAATAGTAGCTTTATAGCTGATTCCTGTCACATGTGGTCAGATTTTGCAAAATATTGACAAATTGCCCACTTGGTAGGTTTAGTCTTAAATGAGTTACTAATAGTGGTTTTGTCTGTCTTTTGACTTAAATTGCAGCTCTGGAGCTGACAGTTTGCATATCATTCATCCTAAATTCATGAAGCTTGCAGTCAATTTGTCACCTTTTCATGTAGTTAGATATTTTATTTGCCCTCCTTTTTAAGTTTGTGAGTATATGTCTTCAAGCAAGTGAGCTCACTCTTCAGAAAGCTCTTCCAAATTTTCATTTAAGTCTTCGCTATTCTTGAACTGCCCTTCATGAACTGGCAGAATCAGGGTAGAAGTTTAGGGCTTTTCAATCATATATTGGCTGCTCTGGGTTATCCCTTGGAAATGTTATTGGTCAGTGGGTTGTGGTAGGAATCAAATCATTCCTAGAGATGGAAATGTGAATGTGTTCTCTCTGCCTTTTACATCACCTTTTTCAAAAAGACTTTCATCCAAGTTGAATTGAAACTTGACATTTAAACATGTTTAGATGCTCGGGTCAGAATGGGATTCTAAACGTAATTTCCTTCTCTCCTGCTCTTTCCCTATGCTCCCTGTTTCTACACAACTTAGTGCATTATCAAACTGTCACTGAGGAATAAGAGATTTGTGCAGATGGAAGAGAGATCTAAGTACTGTCTTGTGTTTTCTTATTTGGTATACTAGCCTATGTGCTGTAGTTGCTCTTTTTCTGGTTTCTCTTGTGTTGTTGTTGGTGAAATGGCTGTACATCAGTGACTTGTGTTTCATGATGCTTCTTCATAGCCTGTTTGCACGTATGACATATTGCAGGACATTATGATGGTCTTGTATAGATAACACTGACTAGAAACATCATTATTTGCTCTATTTGATCATTTTTCTATATGGCAGCATTTAAAAATTGAACTAGCAACCAAATACTATCACCAGGTTGAGTTAGGTTTCTTTTCATCTAGAGAAATAGCAGCAAATTATTCCAGTTTATATTTGACTTCCCAAATAATGGTCTTTATTTGTTGTGTCTTGCTGTTTTGCCAGAAGTCCATTTTAGCCTTTACTCAGTGGGACACTGAGCTTCAAGAGGACTTGCATGAGCCCCCATGCTGTGACAGACACTCAGCTCCTTGCTCAGCCATACATTGCTGTCCTGCAGAAGTGTGTGTCTGGCAGTTCCCAGCAGCCTGCAGAGCTGCTCCTGGGCTTTGCTTCCACCTCCCAGTGGGATCTGCAGCACTGCCCAGACCAGTTGGAGGTTCCAGGAGCTGGGTGCTGGAGTTGGGCCCCAACAGCCCTTTTAGGTGTGTAGGTGCAGCTCCCTGCACACAGGGCAGTGCTGTCCCTGCCAAATAACCCGTGTGGAAATGCTGCTGAGGAGTTTCTCGAGTTTCCTTGTAGTCCTAGGGCTGCTGGTCTTGAAGTGCTGGTCTAGGTGCAGGTTTTTGTTGAGCAGACTTTTGCTGGTGCACAGGATGGCACACACTATATAACAGAATCTGACCTTTTGTTCTTGTACTTCATTCCATTTTAATGTCATCAAGAACCTTTTAAATGGTATTCATGTTGGCATAGTTTAGATTTTTTGATCCTGACTCAGCATTTTGCTATCACTTAGTCCCATGATGGGGGGGTTGTAATTTCTTGCATTGCTTTATGGTGAGTGTTAGTGGTTGCCAAGGCTCCATGTGTCATCTGCTCCCGAAGGAACAATACCAACATTCTGACTCTTTACCTCCTTGATCTGTAATCTTATTCTAGACAGCTGGATGACTGAGAATAGAATTAAAAAAAAAAGGTGGAAGAGAGGATACTGTGGCTCTGCTTAAGCGTTTCCCCTCCAAAATCTGCAGCATGCGTTCTGGGCTCATAATTCTCAATGTTTGTAAGGCTTGCAGGCATCAGCTATATTGTCATTTATTACTATAGCACACTGGAGTTGTTTAACTGACCTGGTATATCATGTCTTGAAATCTCTTAAAATAAAGATGCTGAGCAGTTTTATGCTTGTTTATATTTAGTGTCAAGTGGCATTGAAAAGTTTTCAGAGTTTGTCATGCTGGGAAATTATGAGTTAAGTTTATCAATTTACCCGTGAGCCAGCTAGAGCTCATGTGAAACATGTCTCCATGCTATAATAAAGGTAGCAGCAGATAACTAAGCAAACAAATGTTTATATGCCCCAGAGAAAGTCTGATTACTTAAAATAAACATGTCTGAGGGTGTGAGTACCATTGGCAGTCTTCAGTGGGACTTCAGTATTAGCTGACAGAAAGGACTCTAGGGCCTCACTCCCAAGCTGATCCTAACTTGCACAATGTATAATATGAGAGCAACAGCTGCAAAGAAGTACTGAAATACAGGGGGAAGAGTACTGGGTTATTGGTACCTAGGGTATGTGGTGATATAAAATGCACTCCCCTATTAGTCTTTCAAGAAAGAGTTTTGTTTCTCTTCTTACAAGAGAGACAGGTTTAAATATCGAATAACATTTCTGTAAGTTGTATTTGTATTCATATTTATTTTTACTTCTTTCTATAGGCAATTAGAACTCCAGAAGATTTGATTTCAAAGCAACACCACAAATTTCAAAGAAAATAAATCTACATGAAGAGCCACAAAGCAAGTTGATTTGAGAAGACACAGCATTTACAAAAATGTCGTCAAGTTGTGTGACTTCAGTGTTTGCTTTGATGGTTTTGTGCTTTGCAGCTGCAGGTAGGTGGTATTATGCAAATCATGCATTCAGTGTAACTGGTTGTGCATATTTAGAATTGTTGATCAGAAATACTTTTTTATGCTGAAAAAAGTAGGTCAGCTAAAGTTTGTCTAGGTTTTCTATAAAATTAATATGATCATAATTCTATCATGTATGATGTGAGAAACAGTGCTGATCTTATAAGAATATTTTCTTGCATCTATGTTCACTCTTAAAATCATTTAAGAACTGCAGTAGTAATGCAAATTGTTGAGGTTATTTACCTATTTCTTTTTAAAAATTGCATGATGCACATGTATTATAAAGGGGGGGTTGATATGGAAGCCTTTGGGAGTGGAAGCAGGGTAGCTCTGCCAGCATGATGAAATATTGGCTCTGCCAAGAGGCTGGATTTATTTCCCCAGGTGCAGGGTTGGGCTGGTGGAGCTGAGGCAGCTAAAATCTCTCTACAGAGCTGGGCTGAAAGGGTGTACCAGCTCAGCTCCATGCTGCCTCCAATCTGGAATTAAGCCCCAATTATTTGACTTTATAAAAAATATGTCAGAAAAATCCCAGAAAGATTCATAATAGGTCACTGGGTTTGTCCATCCTTCCTGCCTTACTGGGTAAACCCCACCAGGACAGTTGTCTAACCTGATTTATAGTCAGCCATTAGTGATGTTGGCAAAAACCTTTTAATAACAGTTGTCAGTGTTAATGGAGTCCTTGTACATTGGGAACATGCATCACCATTTAAGGGGATTGTTCCTGTCCCACATTTTGGCCTAGCTGGGGATTTTTAAAGCAGTATGTTGCAATAATTTGTGACAGAGAAAGAAAAGATCTGTGGAGTTAAGTACCTAGTTTATTCTGTAGTTTCTTCAAGCACTGAAGTGATTCTACTCAGTATGTTTGTTTGTCAAAGTTCTTTCTGTGGTTGCAAGGGGAAGCCTCTTATGTGTCCAGTTTGTATACAGCGTGGGCCTGTGGAGAAGAGGCCAAATGGATACACAGTCAGTCCAAATGAGACAGTGGGAAAAGTGGACAGTGGACAGATGGCTTGCTTAAATCTGAGATGTCCTCACTGTGGAAAAGATGACCAGCTTTGGAAGAGACAGGGCTGAGCAATTAAATGTGTTACAATTTGGCTTCATTTCATCTTCAGCATGGAAAATTATGTTATTTCAAGCCCTCAAGCCTTGTGGGACTTTCTCTGGGCTTGACCTCCTTGAAGGCATCCATCCAACATTAGTAATTTCGATTGTTTAATAGTACGTGATGCTGACATTTTGCAATAGCTTCATTACAGACAGACTTTGAGCAGTGCAGGGTGTGTCTGAGTGTGTCTGCAGCTCCAGCTGAGGACATCAATGCTGCTCTTGGCTGAGAAGAGCCATTACTTGGAGCAAATCTGTATCATTCTAGATGTGTAAAAATCTACTTTAAAAGGACGTGTCAGTACAGAAAAGAAAAGCTTTTTAAATTGATCACAACCATAATTCTGTTTTGCTGCTGAGGAGAATGCTTGCCTGATCAAGTTAGCTTGCCTCTTAATGCCAGCTTTAATTAAAACCCCCTAATTTAAATGTGCTATCAAACAGTACTACTATTAGAAAGTAATTTAGTGTTCAGAAAACCTGACATGTCTGTCTTGACATTCATTGTGGTTTTTTTGGTTTTACTCCCCAGTTCTGTTTTTCTCTAGCAAACATTCTTGAAACAAACTCTCAAAAAGCTTTGGATTCAATCAGATGCTTATTCATAAGTAGAGTCACAGAATTATTTTGGCTGGATGGGACCTCTGGAAGTCTAGTCCAGCACCCTTCTTGGATGAGGGCTAGTTTCGAATTCTTTCTTTCTTAGAGACTGATTTTCCCCCTGCATGGGAAGAAATTAGCTGAGGGGAGTAGGGAGGGTCATGGTTTGTTAGGGGAAGGTGAGGAAGCACTGTCTTTGTGGTTTCTGGCTGTACCTACTTTGTATATTTTGGTTTTCTACCACGCTTTTACATTTTTTCAGTAAATTCTCAATGAGAGCAATGAGATCATGTCCTTTACAGAGTATAATGAGTGCAGTAAGTTAGGAGCAGTAACTGATGGACTATGATGAAGAGGAAAGAGATGTCAGGCAGATGTAATTAAAACTGAGGAAGGACAGCTCTCTGAAGGTTATTTAGATAGAGCTTTTGCAGCTTGAGATCTTGAGTCCTTTTAATCCAAACAGTTATACTTAAAATGCAGGGAGTTTGTGTCTGTAGGTGAAGAGCAGGTGGGAGCACACAACACGTTCTACTTGTGTGAAGTGCTGGCAGAGGCCCCTGAGCTCTGTCAGTGTGATGTGAGGGCACTGCAGGCTTGGCTTTTAATTGCCAGCATACAGGACCTGTGCTTTTTCACTCCTGAAAAAGGACTATACTAGTCCACTAATGTACTAGTATAATACAGCTAGAAGTCTAAATCAAGTTAAGAAGTGTAAATAAAATCCCTTGCTTGTGGTGGAGCCTGGGGGAGGCAGGGGGCAGCATGCCACCTCCCTAGGGTATTGATTTTGATACATTTGAGCCTTTTTCCAGCCTGCTCTCTGTTTCTGAAGAACTTAGGCTGCTGCAGCAGAGCACACTTTGCTTTTGTTTGCCAGTCCTACACTGAAACTGCTGCTACTGGGTTGAGGGGGGAGTTTGCTGACATTATAATAGCTCCAGCGTTCTTGTATTTTCAGGTATAAATGAGCTAGCTTCTAGATAGAATCTTATGGGTTTTTTTGTGGCTTTTTTTTTTTTTCTATTCTTGCTCTTAAATGTACTGGTGTGTTAAACATATCAAAAAACGCCCAAAACCCTGGAGTTACACGACATGATGTACAGAAATGGATGGTCAGAGATGAGTCACAGACCTGCACGTTTTTCAAGCTAATAGCTTAAAGATTACACCTTACTAACTGCATTGAAAATGGTCTGTATAAATACTCGAAGAATATTTGCCTGTTTTTCTACCTCCTCATACTACCTGGATGGATGTAGCTAAGTGCTTATCTGAATCTAATTTGCTTTTGTCTTGTACATGGATTTCTTATAAGCTTTTATTTATACAGCTTTAATTGGACAGAAAAAGACTGCAAAGAAAACCTTGATTACTCTGAGATTTTTCTACTTCGTGGAAAAGTCCAAGGCAGGATAGAGAGAAACTGCTGGCAAGCTATCTGCCCGACTGAAGGAATTAAGTTTTTGAAGTGGGATTAAATTAAGGTCTGGCAACCTGCAGTAGGAACTCCACACAAACACTCAGAACTGCACACAGTTATCCAGGCCTTGGATAACCTCTTAAATTAGTCTGGCTTTGTAATCTTGGAGTGAAAATATTCAGTCCTAATGTGGCTTAAATCAAAGACTGGAACATATTTATTTTACTTGCTGGCAAATTAGTGCAGTTGGGTGCATGATGCATGTCTTGATAAAATGTCTTAGAGGACAACTGAAATGCATACCTGCTCTAGACCTTGAGGGCCAAACCTTCATCAAGACAGGTCTTCCCTTGAAGGAATAGGAATGCTTGTTAACATGAACTTAGATTTTTCCTTTTTTCTTTCCTCCATTACTGTGCAGCTAGAAAGAAGACAAAAAAGACACCTTCACTTTCCTTCGACTCCCCTGATATTTAGCATTGCCTGTGCTTGACATGTAGACACCTCTCTCCTTATGGCAGTTTCATGGTTGTGGTCAGGCAGATAAAGACCCTGTAAGAATTAGATATATTGATGAATTTACTTGTTTTCTGTAATACTGAGTTGACTGGTTTGTCTGCTCATGTTAGGTCCATCTTTATGGTTTTCTTCCAACAGCTCTTTACTCCCTAGTTCTCTGCTCTATTGTAATCCTACCTGTTTTTCTTTCTTTTTATATACTTGTTCTTATAAATAATCTTACACTGTTCAGAGCATGTGTGCTTCCTTTTCAATAAGACTGTTCACTTGCAAGCTCATGTATCTTCTGGATCTGTGCCCCCCAGATATGGTGGTGATGTGTGCCATGTTAATAAGTGGAACAACAGGAAGAAACAGGTCTTGTCGTGACATCTACTTTTTCTTTTTTTTTTAAAGATGAACTTCCCCTGACCTTGAACGCTGTTTTCCAAAAGCAATATATGATTCTTCAAAGCGTAGTAGAAAAACCTTCCACTGGAAGGTGAAGAACATGATCTGAAAAAAAAAAAAAAGGTAGAAATTAATACTGGGAGTTACTCACATAAATTTCCTTCTGTTTTAAACAGTGTTTGCTGAGTATTTCCCAGATGTAATTAGACTGTAATTTTTTTTCCCTGAAGTATTTGTTCCCAGAGGTGTGGAGTTTGTTTGCTTAAATTGTGTTTAGAGGATGAGAACCAAGGGACAGAGGTTGGATCTTGAATTCTTAGGACTGAAGTAAAGCACAGGCTGCTTGCAGCTTTTGAATAGATGAGGATTTCACTCTGTACCTCTCTTTCCCTTCACTTTTCTCACAAACAGCTGACTTTTGCCTGCTGTGTAAAATCACCTATTCCTGTTTATGGTCTGGGTGTTCAGACTTTTGAGGATGAGATGAACCAGCACTCAGAACATTTGAAGATTTGCACTCTCAGAGAATTAGAGGAGCAGAGGGCTGGTTCATGTCCTGTGCCATGTTGGAAAGGTTGCAAGGGAATGCCTGTTCTCTTCAGGGGAGACTAACATGCTCTCAGTTCTGAGAAATGCTATTGAGAAACCAGTGACTGGCTGTTAAAAGTGGAAATCGATCTAATTTTTTTATTCCTTCAGCACCCTGATGGTGATTTAAAACATCTTAATACCAAATGCTTATCTAATAGGGAATCAAATGATGAATTCCTAACTTATGTCAGTGAGCTCTGTGACATAACTTTGAGATGCAAAAATATACATTAAAAAAGAGTTAACTTTCATTTCACACAAAGCATAATACCTTTCAAGCAGTAAATTGTTTAAAGTGAGCACTTTAAATACAAAGACTGATTAAAACTGGGAAGCTAGA